GAAGAGGACCGAATCAGAAAGGAAACAAAACTCCGGCAGTGCAATGCAAACGTACTAGCCCATCAATTCCCACCATTCACAGGGTCGCTGTTGTTATGCTCTATCATTTTCTCCATGAAGCTGATGTAGTCATACTTGGGAAGGTCCCTGTCTTCTTGAAGATCCGGTCCGTTGTGTGGCGGCATAGTCTGGACTAGATGTTCGATTACCTCGTCGGGAATAAGAGAGTGTCGAAGGTCGAGCTCCGTGACATAAGGCTATTACAGAAGTCAGATATTGAATGAAACGCAACTCTTTGCAATTCTGACGGGATACATACCTTGCCATCCGCAACCTCGCGGAAACTCTGGTAGACTTGCTCGGCCGTGTTTTGATCCTCAGTAACGCTGACCATGAATCGGATGAACTGCTCAAAGCTGACACCGGCATTTTGCGCAAGTCGAGCTGGTCCACATGTCTCCACGTAGACGTCATGCATCTCCTCTTCATCATATACAAGGCCAAGACTTGCGAGGGCTGCCGAAAATTCAAGCTCATGAAGGGTATTGGAAGCGTCGCGATCGAAATGTCTGAAGACAGACTCAAACTCCTCCAGTTGAATTGGGGTCAGGTTGGTCATGTTCCGAGCCACGAGTTGATTGTCAAGGAATGCCAGCTTTTTGGAGATGCTGGACTTGACCAAGCTCAGCTCGTAAGAGAGTTCATCTAAAGTATATGTGGTGTAGTCGTTTTCCTCAATATTCGCCTCCGCACATTGCTCGTCCAGAGCCGCAATGGTATCTAAGAACGCATCGAGGGGAGGGAGGTTGTCATTGAGTCTCTTCACATGTGCTAATTGGTCTTCTACATCACCATCGAGACCAGATATTGCCAGAGACAGGGTCTTCAACGTTAGCGCAAAATCGTTGGCTTTGTCTGCAAACGATCGGCGGAGGGCATTCTTGATATCCCGAATGGTCTCGTTAATAAGCTGGCTACGTTCGTGCTCGTCACGAGTCAAGCCCTCCCACTCCTCATCGCACACCTCCAGACTTAGTTCCTTTGGCGGTTGGTAAGGGCGCAATCGGTATGTGCTGAGTTTGGTCTTGATGTTACCGAGCAGGGCTGCGAGATCCGACTTTTCTGCAACCCACTGGCGCTTCTGGTTTCTTTTATACAAGGAGAACTGGTGGGCTTGCTCTTTCGCGTCCTTGTATGTACCTTCAAAGGAAGAGTTCTTCCATGCCTCACGTTGCACTTTGATAACGCGCAATAGTTCCCTCATTCTCCGCTCGTAGGAATTTTGCATCTCCCATGCACCATGCATGTTGTTGATGAATTTCTCCACCCGACGTCCGGCATTCTCGACACGCTCCAGCTGCGAGAATGCATGGAACCAATAAGCGATGTATGTCATCAGTGACTTCTCATCAGGTCTTGCTTGATCGCAAACATCGTCGACATCGAGCAAATCAGGGATGCCTATTTCGTTAGCTGCGATGTCGAAGGCGAGTTTCATGTTACCCCGGTGGTCCTTCTTGTCCAGAGCATCGAAATCAATCAGGTCTGGACGATGAATATCCAGAAGAGCACAGAAGGCCAGACCATCATTCCAGCTAGTGGAGAAGTCCCGGACTTCTACTCCTTCGTAACAAGCAGTCTTTCGTTGACACCACAGAAGGAGACCCGCCTTCGCGGTCATACCCTCCGCGTTGATGTCGCTGATCGTGAATCGCAGAATAAGTGTCCATATCAAGCCCAAAATGATCTTCCGATTTCCATCCACAACATCCTCTGCTCCAATGTTCGTCATCGGGATCCGCCTTCCCTTGATGAAATCGAGACTCTTGTTGACATTTTCGAATTTCTGTACCCGCAACTTAGGCTTCGAGGCATATCGACCAAGTGACTCTCCACCCAGGATCTCGAGTAGATGAATAAGGATAACCTGAAGTTCCGATAAGAATCATTAGCAACCGGAGCTTCCCTCAGTTCGCCGCAGGGGTTGGCGCCCGAACAAGGACGAAAGCAGGGGTGTACTTACACCATCGGAAAGGTCGACCACGAGGTCATCGATAAAGATCTTCCGCACCTTCAGCTTGTCATTGAGCCTGCAGACAAACTAGGGTCAGCTTACTCAATTTCGGGAGAGTGCATAAAGAGGGAAAACAAAGAAATAGCGAAAAAAGAAATATTTCGGGGCATGTGAGGGTAAGAGGGGTAATTTGGAGAAGGCCTCTTCCGCAGCATGCAATTAGGGTAGAATGAGAAAGGGAACCAACCATTTGGTGAAGGTCTTCTGTTGCACATTAATCCACTGCTTTTCAACTGTCAACATGATGGATGGCGAGGGTGGTTGAGAACATCCAGGGCGGGCGGGGAGAAATTGGGCGATTGAAGCACGGACTGAGGGAGCGTTTGCTGTCTATCTGGAGGCTGGTATCCAGTGAGTGAATGGATGGAGCCGACGGAGACCGACTTGAATAGAAAAGGCAGGATCTTCAGGACGGAGGTGACTAGAACGAGTGGGAAGGGGTGGGCTGCGATTCGCCGGTTTCAAAGAGATCGAATCGCCTAGATAGATAGTCGGCGGTTGGGCGCAGAGTTGAAAGAAAGAACTAAGCAGAATGAATAATCATCGAGTAGGAAACTAGGAAATTTAGTTGATTAATTTGCTAGTTGGAGCCTGGAGCGTGAGGGAGACTACTAGTTAGTAAGTAGCCTTGCCTTAGTACAGTTAAGCACTCAAAAGTAGGTCCCATTCATTGCTTTTAAGGGGCTCTCACTCACTCCCTCTCTGTCTCTGTCCCTCCCGTGCAGTGGAAAAGGGCCTGTCAACAAACTTCCACCCCCACAGCAACCGCCGCTGGTCCTGCCCGGTCGGCTGCTGCCGGTAGGTTCAGATCCCATCCCCCCCCGGTCCAGTCGTTCACTCATTCACTCATTCACTCATTCATTCATTCATTCATTCATTCATTCATTCATTCATTCATCATCCATTCTCCATTCTTCAACCACGCAGTCTTCCATCATCGGAGAATTTCTAAAAGTAGATTCGCCCCATTCTCTCGCATTGCTTGCCCAAGAATTATCATCTAGCGTCGATTTTATGTCCGTCCATCCTCCGTTGAGAGATTTCTTTCATATCAATTGTTGGCCCGGTTTCTGTTTATAGTACAGTCCTAATAGTACTAGTAGTAGTTCAGGGGAAGGATGGCGCTTAATGACCATTCAGAGTCGAGAGAAGCACCGTAGCACTCAAGTTTTCCCGCATGGGCATCCATCCACTATTACTCTGCAGGCGTTTGTCTTCTTCTTTCAGTCCTGCTTCAATGGTTCCGAAGAAGGATTATCCAACCAGGGGATATGCAGGTGAGACGGGCTTCAGTGGTGTCTGACTCGTAGACTTTCTTGCGATATGAATAGCACGGCTCTGGAGGATGATCCATGTTCAATTTTCCGAAGCGACGCTGATCAAATTCTTGAGTGACCCACCAACCTGACTTCAATCCACCAATGTCGATGGAACTGCAAGACGATTGAGGGGTTACTAATTTCTCAGGTTGTCGCCCAACCTGAAGGCGTGATCATTGCCGGCTATGGATGGATGTCTAGTTCGTCTTCCTCTGCCGGAGGCATATCCACGATTCGGAGCACTATGTTTTGCTGGCGGTATGGCTGCACAAAGACAACCCCAGTAACAGTAAAACAGGTCTCAAAATGCCGGGATAAACATGGAGGGCACACGCGAGAAAGTACCGTGGTAGAAACCTGCATTTTACCTTTCCCGATGCAAGGGCGAGGATACCAGTTGCCCCATAATTTTAGCCATCTTTTCAGCTTGAACAACAAGCTCCCTATCCGTGCGGGGGCGCAAAGACCGAATGTCTCGCCAGAATGAGAGTTGATGTAATCGTCTCAATTCAGCCAACTATGCTGCATCCATCACAGTATGTAGATAGTTACTGCTATACACATTAGTATACGAAGATCAAAACAGATGAGGCCGGAGACACAAGCGGCAAAGGGGTGGGCTGATGATATCATCGGATTCGCCGAGGCGTGATGGGGCCCGCGCGCGAAACATCCAGCTCAACTTAATCGGCTTCCCCTCTCTCCGTCAGTCATTCTCCGGGTTCACTCCGTGACTACTGATTACCTTGCGCCTGTTCATACGAACATCTCAGATTCCCTAAGCTTGTTCCGCTTTGCCATTTCGATTCTTTTGTTTCATAATGCCGGCCAACTATTCCTTTGCGGACGAGGTACCACTGCCAAATTCCGCCGTCAAAATACCCCGCCTCGGCTTCGGCGTCTATCGGTCACCTTCCACACAATGCGTGCAGTCCTGCCTCAAGGCCCTCGAAGTTGGCTACCGGCACATTGATACCGCTCAGTTCTATGCAAATGAGAAAGAGGTTGGCGACGCCATCCGTTCCTCTGGCCTGCCTCGCAATGAAATTTTCGTGACCACCAAAATCCTCAGCCCAGCGGGCTCGCCCGAGGCAACCTATGAGAGACTGCTGGCTAGCGTCGAGAAGATCGGTGGCCCGGACGGATACGTTGATCTGTTCCTGATTCATAGCTCCAAGTCTGGCTCGTCGGGTCGCAAGCACTTATGGCAGGCCCTGGAGAGGCTGCTGGAGGAGGGCAAGGCTAAGAGTATCGGTGTCAGTAACTTTGGAGTGAAGCACATTGAAGAAATGAAGGAGTATGCGAAAGTCTGGCCGCCCCATGTTAATCAGATCGAGGTTAGTACCCCATACTTTTTTTTTCTGTCTGGTCGCTGCGGTGCAATAGAAAGAGAATCCGACTGACTCAGTGAATCGCACAGCTCCATCCTTGGTGCCAACAACGTGTAATCGATGCATACTGCAAGAGAAACGGAATCGTTGTCGAGTCTTATGCCCCCATTGTGCGAAACTATAAAGCGAATGATCCTACACTCGTGGACTTGGCCAAGAAATACAACAAGACGACCCAGCAGGTCCTGATACGCTACGCGCTGCAGAAGGAATGGGTTCCACTTCCTAAAACCGACAACCCAGACCGGATTGCGGCTAATGCTGATGTGTTTGATTTCGACATCAGCGAGGAGGACATGGCGGTGCTTAATGCTCTTGACCAGGGAAGCAGTGGCGCTATTGTCGAGGCCGTCGAGAACGAGTAGTTCGTCCATTTATAGACATAATTAATTGTGATTTTCAGGTTCATTTCTTCAAGCTGTTAGTAATCTGGGCGTTGCATGAGGAAGGCATTGATCGATTGAAGCGTAGACCGCGAGGGATTCACATCATGTTTGGAGGATGTGATCCAAGCGAGCCGCTGACGAATAAACTGCTTGCCGATCAGTTGGTTGGTGGGAACAGCAGTGAACTCGCCTAGTGTATTATTAGTACTGTAGAGACACCTTATAAAAAAGACAAGACGGGTTGGCAGATCGATGAGAGACTTACCTTCCTCGTTATAGAACAGACACAATATTGCAAGTAGAGCACCAACCGAAAGATCCTTGCCAGTCTCACATGTCACCAGCAATGACCGTGATGGATCTGCGCTCATACGGGACTTGACGAAGTCCTGCACCTTGTCCAGGTGCTTGCGCAGGTCACGGCTTCCAAGCTTAGAAGATCCGCAACCGAGATTCAGGCGATTCGCATTCTCTTCTGCCCCTTCTGCGCTCGCATTACAATCTATGACCAGATCAAACATGCTGCCGTTGTTCAGTTGAGGGTGTGTTTGGCTGAGATATAAGTTTCGTGTTGGGGCAATGCGTATCGCTCTCTGATCAACATTCTTTTTACTGTGATCCTCAACCAGCTGCTCGATTACGGTCGGGAGATCTTCTTCTGAGTGCTGGAACAGGGTCGCTTTAGTAGCCCAAAAGACAGGAGGAGTTAGCCCATAGGCCCAACTCTCGCTGTCATCTCCTGCTCCTTGGATATAGCCGCCTTCAGACATTTCTGCGCCATGGACCCTTTTCGATGCGGAACAGAGAACAAACAGGCGATAGTCATCTCCTTTATGTAGATCTGTCGGATGAAAATAGGCTCGGTTGGCCCATGCTACCCGAATAGGCTTTCCAAGTTGCTGCCTGAGTTCATCCAGATCGAGTTTCAGGTCCTAGCAGCCTATCAGCACACATGGGAGTTATGGGTCATTTCACAGCAGAGAATGAGTTACCTCGAGGGATTTGACAAAGCCGTCAATCCTCCGCTCAATCTGGGACTCTTCAGAGGCGCCCAGATAGTTTGGCGGAAAGTTCACCGCGTGATATGCAGTGTCAGATGGAAACAGCGCCCTGTTGATGACGGCACACCAAATCGGAACAGTTTTAGACAGTGCATCAGGCATCACTGGCGCATACCTCGTTAATCGGTGCACAAATAACATTGAGGGGGTTAGCTGGTTACTTACATTTACCCCGGCGCGTGGAATCCACGATAATGCAACTGTATCAACGAATAAGGGTCAGCCATTCAGTTAGCCCGAAGCAGAACGATCAGCAGGGATGGCAGAAAAAGATGGATGACAGGATCACTCACCCTCCATGTTCCCTGGCAATTGGTAGAAGCTGCAAGTTTAGTCTGCGAAAGCTGAAATCCCACTGGCCCGTGTGACCATCTGTACTTTTGAAGTACGCACTGCCAGACTTGACTTCAGGCGGAATGTACCAGCTCCCGCATCTTTCGTTGGCGATGAGAGGAAGGTCGTAATGGGCAGCAACCTCACGGACAAAGGCCGCGTCGGCCTCGATGGAACGCAGGCGGTTGGTGACGGAGAGAGCTGATCGTCGCAATGCAGATAGCGTCTGAGAAATCGATTGTTGCTCGGCGGAGGGGAAGTGAAGGGACGAAATAGACACGGGGTAGGGATCGGAACCAGAAGCAGATCCCATGTTGCCCGGAGTGCTTTGTATTGGCTTGAAGGCCAGCCGTCGGGTCGTATTCGCAGTGGAATCAGACACTGGTACGTGAAATTCACGAATCTGGTTACAGTATGCCTCGGGAAGCAGGCAACAATATCACACTAGGCTTTGACGTCCTTAGTGGTAATGAGAATAATGGGATCAATTGCGATCGATCATAATGAGGGGCTCTAATGCAAGCGCCATTAGAATTTCCTCGCCGGCCAACGATCGGCCCACAATTAAGGCCGGCGCCGACAAGTCGAACGCCATCCTCACGCGGGGTGGAGCACAGCCACCGATGGTACCTACAGGGGGGACTACTTACATGCTTAGGAGGATGATTTCAGGAACATGTGGTAGGAAAGAGTACTAGATATTGTCTGCTATAATTTCGGAGATTTGGTAACTAGTTGCAGTCATTGATAGTAGATGGCTTACTTATGACGGATGAAGCCCGAGCACTCGCGAGTAGTGTTTCAATTTTCATCGTACCGTCTTCGCAACAACTGGTCTGAACAGTTGCATTAGTATACGAAAATTGCCTAGTGGCACGGTTTCATCCGACCGGCATGGGGTCTCTATCTTACTACAGCTTAGTATTATTGAGGGTACCCGGGTAATGCCCTGGCATACAGACAGACAGTTATGCGTGGTCCGATCCTTGGCGACGTATTATTGCTCAGTCCAGGCAGGAAACAAACTGGCCTAGCAGTAGCTGAATGGAATACTGTGCTCCGGGAGATGTACAAGGTCAACGGACGAGGTTCCAGGCATTATTTTAAGGAAGACCGTAACCGAGTATACCCCCCTCGCCTGAGCACCCCCGGTGACTGACTGGTATGAAAGGTTACCTAGCATGATACGGTACTGGGTAGTCAGTGAAGTTTGGTAACAAACGGTATGGAGCACAAAACTCTCTCACTTCTGCCGATACATCTTGCCTACTTGACAGGGAAAAGAATCGTTGTGAATAGCAAAGAAAGCAGAGGAACAAAACGGTTCCACATCTGCAATATGGCGCCCCCAGCACATGGGATGTCGATAAACATGCCATGGAATCCTATCGATTGGCTCTGCGCTTCATCATTGGGCTTTTGAGGCGTCGACAGAAAAGGAACCGGAAATTGAAGGCGACAAGAATGGGCAGAGAGGATTCGGTGCCTTTCCATGGGGTGATACCGCTATGCCTCAACGGGAAAGGAAGAGGGGCATCCGAGCGCGATTCGAACGACGAATGGCAGCGGGTGCTTGCCTGAATCGGTTTAGCATCTTTCACTAGTACTAGAATTCGGCCTTTTGATAACGTCATGGGTGTTTTTTCAAATGTATGATCTCAGGGAAGTCAGGGCCGGCACCCCGCTCCTACCTTGGATACCGGGACTGTGTACAACAGGAATTGGGGACTCCCTCCGGGGGGTTCTAGTCATTCTTCGGTTCTACTGGATGTCTATCACGGGCAGTGGGTTCAAGCCTACTCATTCCGTGGCTGGGTGCCCCATAACTACTAAGTTTCCCCTTTCACCCGCTGGCTTCCTTTGTATTGGTCCCTTCCAATACTACTTAAATAAAGTGAATACCCTCGTCCTTGCCTCTCTTCTTCTGTCACATTTTCGCAGATACATTACCCACAGATCTTTCGTGTCCTCCCTTCCTCCCTTCCTCCATTCCTCTACAACTTATAAAACGACAGCAGTCTCCTTTCCTGTCATATCCTCTTCCACCTTACATCGGTCCCCACCCCGGCTTCTATCTCGAATCATTCCATAAACGTTCCTCTACTGTCATTGCTGTGCAACATTCTTGATCTCAACTAAGAAAAGATCTACTAGACTTTCATACATCATGCCGCAGGTAAGCTGTCAATTCTTCATGCGATGTTGGCATGGACACAATGTGCTTACGAATTTTGATTGTAGATTACTGAGATCTTTTTCGACTGCGACAACACCCTCGTCCTCTCGGAAGAGCTAGCCTTCGAGGCATGTGCCGACCTCGCCAATGAAATTTTGGAGAAGCAGAATATTCCGGATCGCTACACCGGAGAGCAGCTTATCCAAGATTTTGTGGGTCAGAACTTTCGAGGAATGATGGTCTCCCTCCAGGCCAAGTACAAGTTCGAGTTGTCACAGGAGGAGCTCGAGGAATATGTGAAGAAGGAGGAGGACAAGGTCATCGCCAAGCTGACTGACAAAGCTCAGCCATGTGTGGGTGTTAACGCTGAACTTGACAAGCTTCTCGAGTCCAAGAAGTATGGTCTAGCAGTGGTCTCTTCGTCTGCTTTGCGCCGTGTCCGTGCTTCGATCACGAAGGTCGGACAGGACAAGTATTTCGACAAAGATGCTGTGTTCAGCGCAGCCACCTCTCTTCCCAAGCCAACTTCGAAGCCGGATCCGGCTATCTACATCCATGCCCTTGAAGTGCGCAAGAAGAAGCCTGAAGAGGTGGTCGCTGTCGAGGACAGCAAGTCTGGTGCACTGAGTGCCATTCGTGCTGGAATCCCAGTCATTGGTTATGTCGGAAGCTACCACGGTGACGCTAAGCAGTTGGAAATGTCCCAACTTTTGCAAGGGCTGGGTGCCAAGGTTATCATGAAGGATTGGAGCGAATTCCAGAAATGTCTCTCCGAAATCGAGGAGTCCTGAATCTCTAGCAGATTGGGCCGTTTTGTACGCCAGTTACGATTATGAGCACGAAGTCACGATAGCAAGCGCGCTGGTTGTTCCGGGGTTTGGGGTCACTTCCTTCATTTCACATGGTGACATGTCAGACGCCGCTTAGTCTAAGCCTCAGGTCCTTTACACGGCCGGGTTTGTTTCCTTAGTCCATCGCGCAGGAACCGATCACTCACCTTGTTGGGGAGCCGTCGTCTGTCAACCCATGTGGCTTATTTGTCTCATCTGTATGAGTCGCTTCAAGACCGAGATATCTACATCGTTACTCAATTTCTTAATAGAGAGGTACTCGTGGTTCTATGTACTTCCCTGGGCGCCTGCTGCCTGCACAATCACATAGAGCTTATCCATCACTGTGTTCCTTTGAGTAAAACGACAGTAGTAGAAGTTCTATTCCAGAGTATACTATCAAAAATTCAAGCATCCCCAACGTAAACCCAGTACATAGTAGCAACCTACTGAACTGCTAGGCGTGATCGCAGGGATGAGTATCCACCCGGGGAGCTGCGACTCGACTCCGGCCGGGTGGGCCTGGATCGCCTCAAAGGAATCTATAGACGACACTCGACCATCACTTTATTGCTTATCCCCAGACCCTTGCCCGGCTTATTTCTTGCCAGACATACATGAGTGTCTGGCATTCGGATAATCGGCTGCATTATCTGCGTCTTGATTGTAGATGCGCCCATGCAACCATTTGATCCTTCGACATTGCGGAGTAGAACAAGGTGGTTCCTGTCCTTCTCCGTCCAATGACCATAATTCTTCGCAAGTCCGCTGTTTCTACTTTGTAATAGCTCTGTGCTACCTGGCGACATGGGCTAAGCAAGTAATGGCTGATATTTCAGATATTACAGGGGTATAATGACTCACTTGAACTATGATAGCCACTCACTCTCGGCCAGGCTTTTTGAAGGCCCTGAGACTATAGTATATAACCTGACCTGCAGCTTCGTTCGCTTCACTCCTACCCTCTGAAAGAGCAAGTTCTGTATCTCCTTTCTGGCGTGTTTTCCAGGCTAGAAAATGATCGCATCTACCACTCCGTCCCGAGCTGCCAGAGCTCTGGCGTTCGGTCGACGAATGCCATCACAAAGAAAATCATCCCCGTTCGTATACCCCCTGTTTCATACAAAAACCCATGATGCTAATGATAAATCTCGATATGTCAATACAGTCGTCTTCTCTCCTCAACCGCCCACCGTTATGCCGACGAAACACTGAACAAAGTCTCCTCCAAGATCACACAGCCCAAGTCCCAGGGTGCATCTCAAGCGATGCTTTACGCGACCGGTCTGACAGAGAAAGATATGTCCAAGGCACAGGTTGGAATCTCATCAGTGTGGTTTGAAGGGAACCCCTGTAATATGCACTTGATGGATTTGTCGTTGCTGGTCCGTGACTCGGTAGCCAAAGCCGGCCTGGTCCCCATGCGTTTCAACTCCATTGGCGCCTCTGATGGCATTAGTATGGGCACATCTGGCATGCGTTTCAGTTTACAGAGCCGAGAGATCATTGCCGATGGAATTGAAACGGTCATGAACGCCCAATGGTATGATGCTAATATTTCGTTGCCTGGCTGTGATAAGAACATGCCAGGTGTGCTGATGGCTATGGGCCGGGTCAATCGCCCGAGTATCATGGTGTATGGTGGTAGTATCAAGCCCGGCTGCAGTGCGGGGGGTAAGCCACTTGATCTGGTCAGCGCCTTTCAGTCGTACGGTCAGTATCTCACTGGCGAGATCGATGAGAAGGAACGGTTCGATATCATCCGACACGCTTGCCCTGGTGCTGGTGCTTGTGGGGGGATGTATACTGCTAATACTCTGGCAACGGCCATCGAGACCCTCGGTATGACTGTTCCTGGAAGCAGCAGCACGCCGGCAGAGGATCCACGTAAGCGGGCAGAGTGTGAGGATGTTGGCCAGAGAGTGAAGAATCTGCTGAAGGAGGATATTCGGCCCAAGGACGTCATGACGCGGCAGGCATTTGAGAATGCCATGATTGTGGTGAACATCCTTGGAGGCAGTACTAATGCAGTACTGCACTTGATTGCCATTGCTGATTCCGTCGGGATCAAGTTGACCATCGATGACTTCCAGGCCGTGTCAGACAAGACACCTTTCTTGGCCGACCTGAAGCCTTCCGGCAAGTATGTCATGCATGACCTGTACAAAGTCGGGGGCACGCCAGCACTGCTGAAGTTCCTGCTCAAGGAAGGCCTTATCGACGGCTCCGGAATCACTGTCACTGGCAAAACCATGAAAGAGAATTTAGCCTCATGGCCCGAGTTCTCACCTGACCAGCCTATCATCCGTCCCCTAAGTAATCCCATCAAGCCAACCGGCCACTTGCAGATCCTCCGTGGGTCATTGGCCCCTGGCGGCTCGGTTGGCAAGATCACCGGCAAAGAAGGTCTTCGATTTGAAGGTATCGCCAAATGCTATGACTATGAGGATGCTTTCATCGAGGCTCTTGAGCGAGGTGAGATCAAGAAGGGCGAGAAAACTGTCGTCATTATTCGATACGAAGGACCCAAGGGTGGTCCCGGTATGCCTGAGATGCTCAAGCCCAGCTCAGCCATCATGGGTGCCGGATTAGGTCAGGACGTTGCGCTCCTCACTGATGGGAGATTCTCTGGAGGTAGTCATGGCTTCTTGATTGGGCATGTTGTGCCTGAGGCTATGGAGGGCGGGCCCATCGCCCTGGTGAAGGACGGCGATCGGATCGTGATTGATGCGGAGCAAAGAGTGGTTGATCTGCTGATTGCCCCGGAAGAGATGGAAAAGCGAAGAGTTTCTTGGAGGGCACCGGCGCCTCGGGCAAAGAAGGGAACATTAAGCAAGTATGCGAAGCTGGTGAGCGACGCGAGTCATGGATGCGTGACGGATGGGCCAATCTAAGCTGGAAGTTAGTTTTCCTCTGAGTAGCTAGTTCAATGAGAATATATTGGACCAGACACATGATTGCTCCTTCTATAAACTTACTGTGTTTATACGTATTAATGTTTACATGATCGACCAACGCTGCCCCAAAACTAACTTCAAGTTGCCATCCTGCAATAGTAGTCTAACCAGATGACTACTATCTACATTCAGCATCGATGCTTCTCAAACCTAACACAACCACCACAACACACACATAAACCTGCCACTACAAACACACTTTTACACAACCTATCGTCCCAAAATACCAATGACCCCCTACCCCTCCCAAACTCTCTTCAATATAATCCACACATCCCAACTCCAACCTCTCCATCCAGATCCAGCTCATCCAGCTCCCCACCCCGATAAGATAAGGGCTAGCCCTCTAACCCAATGCGGTTGGTGACCCCCTCAGTTGACCAGCTTAGTTTGATAGTTTCCCCTCCTGCTACGTCAGTCACCCGAGTCGAGTCCAGTTGTTTACTCCCTACCTTCCTACCTACCTCTACAATCATTAATCTTTTACACCTTCTGCATATAAATCCATTAGACATAGACCCGCTCCATCCGATACCCTTACGACCAATTTATTCCCTCCACCTTCTGCTTGTAAAAGTGCAACATGGCCGATCCCAAATACGCCGGGTCGAAGTTGCTGTCGAGGGGTCCGTTGGTATGTTTGTATATATATCTGGATCGTGTTTTTACATAACTTATAGTGTTGTTATAGTGGGGTTGATATATGCTGGGGTGAATTGTTACTAACGGGAAGTTACTGATAGGACCCCAAAGAAGCCAAATGGACTCGACTGGTCATGTCGTCGTATACGGATCCTAATGGTGTTGAGAGGACGTGGGAGTCTGCGGAGCGTCAGGTACGAATTACTACCCTCCTCCCTGCAACTTTCTTTCTTGTTGGCATTTCTGCTGGTGGTCTCCAATTGAAGAATAATTCTTTCTGTGGGGAATGAAGTGATAAATTCTGCGTTGAGAATAAATATATTCATTTTTCATGCTAATTGCTTCCAAGACCCGCCCCGCAAACTGCGACATTGACGGCGTTGGAATCGTGACAATCCTCAACAAGGAAACCGGGCCAGAACTGCTCCTGCAGAAGCAGTACCGTCCACCTATCGATAAGGTGGTCATTGAGGTTCCTGCGGGACTGATTGATCCTAATGAGACGGTGGAGGAGTGCGCTGTGCGGGAGCTTAAGGAGGAGACGGGTTACGTTGGTGTGGCGGAGCAGACTAGTAGTGTTATGTATAATGGTGAGTTTTTTTTACTTTCTTTTCTTTTTCCCTCTTCGGATGAGACTAGACTACAGTACCTGTTGAGCATGGGTTCAAGTTGGATTGTTGGGGTATTGACTGACGTGTGTTTACAGACCCTGGGTTCTGCAATACCAACCTCAATATGGTGCATGTCCGGGTGGATATGTCGTTGCCGGAGAACCAGAACCCCAAGCCCCAGCTCGAAGACAACGAGTTCATTGAGTGCTTCACTGTGCCTTTGTCTTCGTTATTTGAAGACATGAAGAAACTGGAGCGGGAGGGATATGCTATTGATGCTCGGGTGGGCACAATAGCTGAAGGAATCGAACTTGCGAAGCGATTCAAGCTTTGAGCTGTATGTAGATGTTCCAGCTGTGGCTCTGTCTTCGTCCCGTACCGTGGATCTGCACATCCTATGGTATCCTGACGACACTGCCGTTAGAGTCGACATACTGTCGAATGCGATATATACATTAGTGTGAGTGTTACTGCTTCCAGTATTAGAGCCCACAAAAAGCTGTACAATGTGAAAATCCCCTACAGCAGCCCCTCCTCCTTGAGGCCTTTGTATAGAGCCCACGCGGCAAGGGTCTTCCCATCTCGCAGACCCTCTTTCCATAGATCGCGCAACGGTACCACCTTCAACGTGATTTTCTCACCATGTTGTCGTAACCCAGTTAATCGTCCTTGCAGGCCGTCAATTTCCTTGCGCGACATGCGCTTCTGACACAAGAACAAGGGAATAAACTCGTCGCTCCCACCGGCCGAAGGGTACACTGCCTTTTGCAACGTCTCGCCCTCTTGTGGCACGGACTGCAGAGCCAGCGATGTCATGTCAATTAGCTCCTCCTGTGGTATTGTCAAGCCTGTCTCCTCTTGAATCTCCTTTGCTGCACCACCAGCGAACGATCCACTGTCATCAAGCATGCCGGCTGGGATTTCGGGGAACGCAAGAGAACCCGCGGGGATACGAGGTTGGATGGTTAAAATGGCACGCTTCTCGTCTTCTGCCGATGGAGGCACATCGTCTGGTTGAAGTATGAGCTATAAGAGAGAGACACAGCGTTAGCATTAGGACTCAATGTTGTCAGTGGGCGATTAACAGAGGTAGCTCGCTTACCAGCATGCCTACGCTGCCACCGCGCAAGAACACGCTTCCCGGAAGCGTCTCCCCATTTTCATTTGACACCTCCGCTTTGAACTTCAAGAAGCCTAGACGGCCACCACCGAAACGGTCCACACTCTGGATATCTATTTTCCGCAGGACATAGGGGTCTTCGGAGAACTCGTGGGAGGGTTGTTGCTGGCGACTCAAGGAGTGTTGCAAGGTGGTAAGCCAGATACGGAAAGCTGGGAATCGCAGCAGATCTTCACGAGACAGGTCTGCTGGACAGGAGACGGGTAGAGTGGCCGAGCCATTGTGGTCCAGATTGCGAGGAATGGTGAAGGTGGAGAAGGACATTGTGAGGGTCAAAGGCAGGCAGCGAAGGAGGAGAGCTGGTCGCGTATGTCGCACAGACGCCGATAGCCACCGGGCGGGCGTCATGAACCGAGCCGAGGTGTGGAATGGGCGGAGGAAGAGGGACGGGCGCTTAACGTTAATCGGAGAGCGTTGGAGTCATGTAAAAGGCGATGTAGATGTGAGCCTTATCTTCAGAGTCTTCTTCCAGTGATAGCACCGTGGTCGTGGGAGCTATTGAAGCTATTGGAGCTAATGGGATGGATTATTGAAGGGAACATGAGGGGGAAAGCTTTCAGGGGAGAGAGGGAGAAGGGCATGACGTCGTCGGCTTCGCAGCTTGTTTCCGCAGTGTCCGAACTGCCCTCATCGGGCCAAAGTCTAGACGCGGTGGCTCCTCCGATCCTCCCAAGACAAGGACGGATGAATGGATGGAGGGATCGATGGATCGATTGATCGATTGATCGGTTAGGGATACCTCCGATGATGGATGGTCAAACAAAGGAAAAGTCGGGGACTGAACGCCGGAGTAGCCTCTTGTTTCGTCCAAGTCCAAGTCCGAACAGCCTCTTTGACTGGCTATTGGATCAACAACCCAAGACATTGCAGTAGTATCCTTAATGCCAATCATCTCGTTGCAAGGTACAAAGTACCATTCATCAACTAACTTTTTCCTTCCTCTAAATATCACTTGACCAGTCCCCGATTGCTTTCCAGGAATGGATCCAACGGATCGCCGTGTCTTGCGGGGTCCGACGGTGACACTGACTGTCTCTTCTTCAACCTCTCACTGACATCCTCCCAATCCATCCTCTCTCTCTCTCCTTCTTCTCATTCTCTCCTCTGCTCCCCTCCCTTTATTTCTCCCTATTTTTGTGAAACTCTTGAAAGCTTGTCCTCCATCTTGTAGCCTCTTCTCTCTGTCTCTCTCTCTCCCTCCCCTCCTCCCCCTCCTCCTACTACCATCTACCCTGCAGCTAGCCTTCCAGTCCGATTGGATCGGTGATCTGATCCCCGAAGTGCTACTGCTCGTTGTCAGCCTGTTTGCAACTCCTTCCATAATTCATTCTACCCCTTCGTATCCGTTGTTGCTGTCGTTCTAGAAAGCTTCCATATTGCCTGTGCGCCTGGTCTTCCAGTGATTCAAGCTTCTCTTGTTTTGACTTCCTTCCCCTCAAGCCTCTTGCGTTTCGATGAGGTTTTGGTTCAACTTCACTGGGAACCGAAGAACCCAGAATTCAGGCCCGGCTGGGAGTTGATCCGACTAAGGAGAGACCGGGAATCCATCGGCGTTAGGCTTCAGCTGCCACTTGGGTTTCCTGTTTTGCATTCCTGCTTCTCCCCGACTACAGTCTCACACCTGCTCGCTTGCTTCGTGGTGTCTTCATTACATCGTTGGCTCATTCAGATCATGATCTCAAACACAATCTGAATTTGGTGGCCAGTACAAACCATTGCACAGCCTGGACACAGCCTCTTGTTGGCAGGATTGTTGCGGAGACGTTGGTGCTTCTATCGACTCTGGAAAGTGCCGCTTTCATGGGTTTTCCATTCAACATATAATATAATTGCGATAACCAGCCAAACGACCCGACCGATATTCGGCGGTAGTAGGACAACAGGAAGGCAAAATTCAAAACAGCATGTATGCATTCACTCCCCATCCCTGCCTGGATTAAGCTATTAGTTGCCGGTTATGTTTATCCAGTCATCACTTCTCAGTCTGCATTGACAAGCACTCTGCCCATCTCGACATATTGAGTCTACATATACTATCAATGGTCTATATGTGTGTGGACTGTTACCAATACTCATTTCAAGGAGCTGCAAGAATCCCCCAGTCACTGTGAAAGTGATAGGGCTTTGGATATATCGTTCGATGCAGCGGAAGGAGGCATAATCCGATTGCCTGTTTTCACTGCTGGGTTGTGGTCCACTGCCAGGAAACCCACTGGGATGACCACTCACTATTCCTAGTTACTCTGCTCTAGTGAAGCGAACCGCTTTTACACATCTCCACCTTAGTATACTATCTCCATTTACGTTTCTTGTGTTTGTCACAGCCTTTTTAAACCCTGTATGCTGTCGATTGCGATTTCATCGGTACATGTTCATGAGCCTCCTATTCGTGAGAATACAACTCTCGCTTGATAGAAGCTAGAAGCGTGTAGCTACTAGCTGATGCGCCATTAGCGTACCACATCCAGGGAACACTACTCCTACGCCTGCGTCAGGGTGACCATTACTCATGGACTCTGCGAGTCGGCCTGCTTTTGAAGGGCTTCCCACGGCGATTCCCAACGATACCAACTTCCAAAACACCCCAACTTCAGCCACTCTGGCCCAGCCTAACACCCAAGACGTAATGGACATCATTCCTGACGTGCCGCGTCCGACATATCATCAAGAAGGTCAGTGCAACGATGCAAGTGATGTTGTTTATAAGTGAAATAACAGAATGCTTTCCAGTCCCTACGGTCGCGAGTCTGTCTGGGGCTCCAAACACCTTCTCAGCCAATGCTGCCTCAAACCAAACAGATTCTTTCACTCCACAGCAAACACCACCGAGAACCTACTTCTCATACTTGAGCAATGGCGTCATAACAATGCCCCGTTACACGCCGAACCAGTACTACGGGGAGCCGAGCAATATCGGTCATCAACTGGATTATATTCCTGGTGGAGATCGAGGTCGCTCATTCGCGTACCCTCATACACGAACTCTCTCACTTCCACAAAATCAACACAGCGGCCTTCCTGCCTACCCCCAGCGAGACCCGCGCTCCAGCAACATCCGGCCAGAAATGTCCATGACGACGCCGGAATCAGTATCTGGCATCTCACCGGGCGACGCGTCACCGAACAACGCCGATTCGACATCATCCACTGCAGTGGTTCCGCCAACACTTCGACCTCGAGGTTACGTGCCCCCATCGGCGAGGACCCAGCAAGGAACACAGCACCCAGCCCCTACTGCTGCTTCTCCAGGGCCAACGTCACCAAGTTATCATCAGCAGTCGCAAGCTCAACAACATTCGCATACATCTGGCCCATTCTCTCATGTGCCGCCCTATCTTGAAGAACGTGACAATGGCACCTATAGCGCTCCACTGGTTACAACGCCTGCCCAGTCATCCTCGGCCAACTTTGTAGCAACTGGCACGCCGTCTTCACGCTCGACGAATGCGGAAACCCCCAGATATGGGCGCCCTCCTTCGCAGCGGCTAGATCTTGCTCGGCTAGATCTTGCTCGGCGAGCACATTTCCACGCCCATCCACACAACCAGCAGGCTGCGCAGGCCATCGTGGAGGCTCATATGCAGCTGCAGCGCCAGCGCTTGCTCCGTCAGCGCCAGGGGCTTGGTACCAACCCCACGAAGCCAGCCGCAAGTCTTGATAATGCGAAAGACGGCCGCCCCGAACCAAAAGAGGCGCACGAAATGCGAGTATCACTCGAATGCAAGGTTTGCTTCACTCAACTCGTTGATACGGTACTGCTTCCTTGCGGCCATGCTGTCCTCTGTCGATGGTGTGCCGAGATCCAAATTCCAAGCAGCGTCCTGGAACGAGGCGTGCTTGGGGGTCAGCCCCCATGTGTGATATGCCGAGCGCCTGTGAGGCAAAAGGTAGAGGACCATATCTAAGACTTCCCGAGAATTTGAATATTACTCACACTGACTTGGGGACACAGATGCGGATCTTCCTTTCTTGATAGATGCAGTGCTATTGGCACCCTCAGTGTACCAATACACATTACTGGTTAGTTGCTACTAGTTGCTACTTACTGACTTGGCTTTATTGGTGTGTGCGCTTGAGAGACGCACAGTATGTGGCTGGCTTTGCATACTCTGGAGTTTCAGGTTTGGAGTAAATTGGGATTCCTTTTAGTGCATTAGAAATACAGCTCATGTCCAGATCTAGAAATGAAAATTGAATTGAGCCTACTCAGTATGCAGCATCATCATCATCATCTATGCTATAGCATGATGTGTCATCCGCACAACTACAACCAGTTACTTTGGTACTACCTAGATAGTATG